CGAAAATGAAGGTTGTACACAGGTAGGACAAATTTTGGGTATGACACAAACATGTTATGATGATATGTATGCAGAGACATGGGATCTACACTTCCAAATATGTTGAATAATTGTTGTGCTGATGATAGAATAAGGCCATAACTCTGCTCCACCAAGAAAATCGAAAAATCAGAATACCAGAATAACCATAATACCCATGATCAAAAGTCCACACTGACAAGGAAAGCAGAAAACCGGGTAAGTTGAAAGTCAAGGTTTCCTGCAAAAAAAAACCATCCCTTCTCACACGTGGGTTCTAGTCTAGAACATAACATCCTATGCAGATCGTTAGTATCACGGCCTCTCACATTGAAAGCAGTCGGTTCAATCTTTCTGATCATATCATGTCCCACATGGCAAAGGGCCAAGAAGATGACAACACATTGAGAGGAGTCGGTGGCACATGCATTTTATCCTCATAAATTTGACATTTATGGCACTTTCTGGCATACTTGAAACAATTCGATTCCATGGTCATCCAGCAATAACCTGCTTTTAACAACTTTCTAGCCATGGCATTGTCGGAACTGCGAAAAACACCTGGCGAAAAAAAAGAGTCGCCACCGAACGTTATTTATCCTGACGCAGGGAAAGAAAACGATCGAAGAAAACCTGAAAAGAAGGGAGAAGACAAGGTCATTGCAACCAAATCTTGGGTTCGGGAGTCGTTTATGCGAGAGAAAGGTATTATCACCCCTCGCATCCGTTATACTCAACGGGATCCATGCTTGTTGTCTAATCAAAGGGTGTGTCATCTAAAGCCTACTGCTAAACGGAAGTGGGAACAAAGAAAAAGGAAAAGAAAGAGACTCGATAGGATATCGCCACCTTGTGCTTACATATTCCCTCGTCCAATGGGAAAGTCAAAGTCAACATAGTTCAGAAAACTATGGGTGAAAGGAGGAAGGTTGCTCGCCAAGACATCGTCGTCTTGTGCTTACGTATCCTCATCTAGAATGAGAAATCAGAGCAGTCGTAGTTTGGCTAACCACGGGAAAAGGTCTCTATCGCACTGGGGCAAGAGAAAAGGCTCGATTAACAGGTTGGTCTCGATCGCACGAGGGCGAGAGAAAAGGGAAGTTAGTTGTTAGTGTGCTCGCCAAGGATAGGGATCCTCGTTCCTACGTATCCTCATTAGGGAATGAGGAATCAGAGCATTCGTAGTTTGCGAGACTACGGGAAGTTGAAACGGTCTTAATCGCACGGGGCGAGAGAAAATGTTCTGGACTTATCGAAGAAGTGAATTTTTTTTTGTGTAATGCACATTACACTAAAGTCTATGACATAGGAGGGAATGCGTCGCAAGATTGCCCCCGGACGGGACGTACGCTAAACACTCTAGACAAGCAAGGAGAGACCCCTCACTCATCATTTGCCATATACTTAAGACTTGTGGCGCACAATGTTCATCGTATTTATTAAGTGTTTTGAAGTTGTTTGAAGATGAGAAGAAAGAAAGATGCACAAAAGGTCTAAGGGGAAAATCAGTCCTAATGTTGTCATGCAAAGTGACCCTAAGGTCGGGATGCGAAAGGAAATTATATCCTAATATTAGCATGCAAAAGATGGACCTAAGGTTGAGGTTAAAAGAGACTAACCTAATGTTATAATGCATGAATTAAACTCCTAATGTCTATCCTAATCCAAGCTTAATCAAAAATTAAGTTGGTTAATATGTTAACACTGTAAAAACAACAACATAAAATTCAGCATAAAAGCACTTTTCAACAACTTAATCGTTTTATCTCCACACGTTAGAACATGCAATTGATCACGAAAATTACATCAAATAACAAGAATTAAACACCAATTGAATCCATCAAACATCAAGATCTATAATTAAATCCAACAACGAACCAATTCACATAAAAAAACTCAAGGATCTACATTGCAAAAGTTGTAAATAAGCTAGAATAAGCTTGGATCTGAAATTTACCAACCTACAAAGCGAAAAATTGCTTTGGTGAGTTTTGCAAACTGAAATTGATGAATCAAAGTAAGAAAAATAGAGATCTATGAAGCTTTAACAAAAAAAATTGAAGATCCAAACAATAATCCACAAATAAGCAAAAAGCTCTCCAAGAAGTGATTCCAAAACCTTGAATCTAGATCTAAACAAGTTGCTATTGCAGAATTTGTGAGGATGAGAAGAAATAATGAAGGTCTAGCTCTAGAATTCACAAATTTCAATGAAGAATTTGAGAATTCTAATGGAAGAGTTTTGGTGAAGGTTGAAGATGGAGAATGAAAAATTGAGAGAGAATTGAGAGCAAATTCTGAAAAATGAAGGTGAAAATGAGAGTGAATGAATGTGAACGAGTGAAGTTTGGAGTAGATTTTATTAAATAACGTATATATTAGAAATAAAAGTGTGCTTTGATATGTGGATTAGTGTGAGGAATGAAAATTAGGAGTGGAACCACTATATATACTCATATGAAAATAATTGTCTACAATGGTTATTTCCCTTCTGTGCGACACATAATCTCTTATGTAGTTTCCAATCTTCTGTCAAGTTCCCACATGTCTTCGACGTTCAGATAAGATTAAAAATTAGGTATTCAATCTAATCCTTTTATTTCGCTTCAACTGTCATAACTGATGATTCAACTTGTCGAATCCTGAGAAAAGCACTACTAACATTTGGAAAAATGCTAAGTTAAAACTCAACGCCAAATGTGTCGAACTCGACATGTAAGGTCGAACGTTGAACTTGTCGCATATGTCACCATGTGTCCTCATTTTCCACTAAGTATTATCCTAATATCGTATCCTCCTGTCGAACTCGACACGTCGAGAATTTCCAAGCTAACAAACCCTAAGTGCGAAGAAGAAAAAATCGATCACCATTATAAGGCTAAGGCATAATATGTTTGAGTTTGGGTTGGATCATGAATGTGAGTTAAGTGAAGTTTGAGTTGTAAATAATGATGTTTAATTTGGTTTGCAAAATAACCAAATGTTTTGTTTTGTTTAAAAATAACCAAACACATCTGAACCAAATGTTTTTTTTATAATTTTCAATTTAGTTCAATTCAATCAACAATTTTTTAATTGGTCAATTCAATTTTGAACACCTTTGTTTTATAAAAAAAAAATCTTTGATACTCAAAATTGTATTTAAAGTGAGAAAAAAACAAAAAAAATTAATACAATGGAAAATACCCTCTCAAAAGAGGATAAACATTATCTAAATAAGATAAAGAATTCGGATGGAAAAAAAAATCAATTCAACCTATTTCGACAAAAAAGCAATAATAGGATTAACATCATGAAAAACAACTTTAACTGATTCACACAAATTACAAAGATGGAAAAGATAAAGAATTTTTAACCAAAATATTTGAGAAAAGAAAAAAAAAATTAGTGGAGATCTTGCACTAATAATATTCTTAATCACCAAACGAAACATTTTATACAAGCACTTTTATATCAAATATTTCTATAAATATATTTACCTGTACTTTTGCTAAAAGTATTCATACTTTAAACTAAATAGAGACAAATAACCATTTAAATTACTTATATCATTTATGAAAACGGTTAACTATTAAATACTAAAAACAAGAAAATACTTGATTGTTTTCACAATATAGAACCAGTATAATAATAAAAATGATCCGTTATCGCAATTGAGAATATAGAAAATAATTAATGGCAGAAATATAAAAAGCAAGTGCATAATAGAAAGTGTGAGTGTCATTGTAGAGGATAACTGCCCCCACACTGAAAAAAAAAAATAGCTAGCTGTAAAAGAAATTGATAGACATCGTGTGTTGCGTTTGTGTTATTGTTACAGTGTCAGTATATCTTCTCATCTCTGATTCTCTGACATATACAGCTGCAAACAAACATTTCCAAAATTATAAGAACCCCAAAAACATTATTAATATTGCACTTTTCTCAAACATTTCCTTTTATGTTTTTTCTTTCCTTATAATTCTTCTCATGTTACTTTTATTTTTTATATTTCTTAAATTTTATTAATTACTTAAAAAACATTATTAATTTTTCCCCCCTTTTTCACAATTTCTTAAATGTGATGAAATAGTTAAATTTCAATACAAAATCACTAAAAGGTACCGACTTTAAATTTGTAGTATTTCTTTGTTTTATACTAGTTCAAAAATTAAAAAGAAATTATTATTTTTATTAGTTAGCGTGTGAAATTATTTTACATCTCTAAATTGAAAAAAAATGTACTAAAAATAAAAAGTAATTAAAAATGACTAATCCTTGAAAAGTGGAAATTTTGAACACAAGAAGACATCTAGAGATTGGAATCATCCAAGTCTCTCTCTCTTTCCTCCATCCTTTACTACTTTATTCATTAATGCAATAATAAACAACAAACAAAATTCAACGATACTATCATCACTCATCGTCATCAATTTTCCAAGGTGGGTTTGGTTCATTTTTATCTAAAAATTATTTTTTTATTTTTATCATGCTACATCGCATGGGTAAATAAAAACAATCATGTTCATAGTGAATTTAACTTCAACTTGAGTTTAATAGGTGATTTGAAATTTTTGATCTTGTTCATGTTGGATTTGTTTTTCTTCTTTTTATTTATTTGTGCATCTGGGTCTAACTGAGTTGGTGTCAAATTAGTCTTTTTCTTGTCAAAGTGTGCTGCTTTGACTTTTAAGCACTTTTTTTTGGTAGTGTTCTTGTTTTGCGTGTGGGTACACATGGATTTGCTAAAGCTTGCGTTTTTATGATTGTTTTTTACTATACAACTAAAGGGTTGTGATTTGTTTTTTGATTGGAATAATTCAGTTCATGTTTTACTGGGTTGAAATCTATGTTTTGATTAGTTGAGATTTATGGGGTTGTTTGTTGTTCTAGCTTAACTGAAGTTGTGATTTTGTTGTTTGTTTTGGATTAGGGATTTTAGGGTTTTGTATTTTATTGAGAAGTAGGGGAATTTGATGATGTGATGGTGGTGGGAATGGTGCATGGGAAGTAGATTCAGGGTTAGTTTTGAAGATGAGAAGGGAGCAGAAACAGGGATGCCGAGCTTCAATTCCGACGATGCATGGTATATTAATATTTCATCTCAATTTTGCATTCTAGGTTAAACCGGAATTTTAGATTTGTTGATTAGAATTTGGCATGGTTCACGGTTCATTCATAATAATCGATCAACTTATAGACGAATTATGTTTTTATGCAATTTTTCGCTAAAATAGAACATATGGACCGGCTTATGATACGGTAGTCTAACTTCCTCAAAATATGGATTTCAGTTATACAGAAGGGAACACAGCTGATGCCTTTCATGTTTCTGACTTCAGTGCATTTGGTCAGCCGTATCGCTTAGAGGATGCTGTTGCTCTGAGCGGAAGTAAGTGTTCTTGTAATCAAACATCGCAGTTTAAATGTAACAAAGCAAATCCAGTCATTTTCTGCTATCACAACAGTGCTATAGTGTATTTGCTATATGGCCACATTTTGTATAAAATAGCGTATTGCGGAATAATAGCAATGATCTGTTCAAATTTCGCGACGCTATAGTGCCGCTATCCAAACGCACTGAAATGTACCGTTTCACCTAGATATCATTTTATGAATTCATGTTGAAAAACGTATACTTTTTTCCATCCATTCCTTTGCTAATGAGTTTTTCCGATTATAGATTCAAACTCGATTTTTAACTCACTAAAAGTTAGTGGCCAAACAATTTCTCCTGGCCCTGTTCACATCAGTACTCTTGGAAAGGTAAGTTTCTCTTGTTCTTTTCTTCTAACACACTTCTTACTTCGGTATAAAATTTGAAGTTTTAGCTGTGTACGAAACGTCTAATTTAAAAAATTTATTTCGTTTCTCTATAGTTTCCAACTTCACTTGATAAAAGCCCCTTGGAGAATCAAACAGAGCCACATAGGTTGCAATTAACAAAGCTTCAATCATCAAATCCTAGCAGCAGTACGATATTAAGTGTTCATATAGAAAACCAGGAAGAGTTTGCCATGGCTGATGCCAGTCCTAGGACTGATATTTCTACGGATGTTGACACTGATGACAAGAATCAACGGGTGAAGTTTTTTCAACCTTTATACTTTTTCTTTTAGTTTTTGATATAGCTTATACACAAAACACTTATATGATAAGCATTTATGCTACAAATGCTTAATTAAACTGTTTATCCAAACAAGGCCTTAATCAGATAAGAACTTAAGAAGCATTGTTGGTAGATATAGTTGACAGTCTAACATTGTATGCATGCTATATTTGCAGTTCGATACAAATCAATCCCTTGCTGCTGTGGGTTCCGACTCCAGTGACAGATCAAAGGATAAATCAGATCAAAAGGTTAATAAATATTATCAAGTTTCTTACTTGGATAACATCTAAAATTACACTTAGTATCAGTTATGTAATGACCTCTTTTAAATGTTATTGTAGACTCTCCGCAGGCTTGCTCAAAATCGCGAGGCAGCAAGAAAAAGCCGGTTGAGAAAGAAAGTAGGGATTGTCTTTAATATTTTAAGTTATTATTAATTCTTTTAAGTTTTGTATATTTTCTTGTTTTCCCATATAAATGTTGTTACCGTTTCATAATGACTCAAAGACGTGATTTGATATTTAGGAAGATTTGATAGGAAAGAAATTTATAGAAAAAACATTACTTGTTTTTTCTATCATAAAGTTGATTGCTATACAGTTGAATCAAGTAACTCCTTTATAATGTTTATGTTGAGATACTGTTCGGATTTGCTCTCTTTTATTTCTGTTATGTGGTTACCTTGTATACCTCCTTTTTTATTATTGCTTTGATTCTGATCCCAAAAATGTAAGGATCTTGATTGTAATCTTTTCATTATAAATACATAAGGCCGAGGGTTTTATCTTTCAAGCATTCAAATGAATTCATATTCTCTATTTATCAAGTTAGTATTAGAGCCTTTAGTAGCTTCATAGGACTTTCTTGCAGTCCCGAGGCATTTACTATGCACTAGGAGTTGCTACCTTGTCCGCTTAAGTGTAATTTCCCCTCCCTCTTGCTTGCCTCCTCTAACTCCATTTCTTCTTCTACGATTCATCTTATACTCATTATTACCATGGGATGGATATATCATAAAAAGAGAGAGAACATGTCATGGTCTTAAAATCCTGGATATCATCATGGTAATAATGAGTATCAGATGAAATGAAGAAGAAAAAATTGGAGTTAGAGGAGGCATGGAGAAGTTATACTTAAGTGGACAAGGTAGCAACTCCTAGTGTATGGTAAATTCTCAGGACGACTAGAAAGTCCTATGAAGCTGCTAAAGGCTCTCATACCAACTTGATAAATAGAGAATGAATTCACCAAGTCTCTCAATCTTATATATATGTGCACCAACTTGAGGGGGAGTGTTGAGATGTTTTCTAGATTTGCTCTCTTTTATTTCCATTACGTGCTTAACTTATTTACCTCTTTCTGACTAATGCTTTGATTTTATTCCCTATAATTCAGGGATCTTTATTGTAATGTTTTCATTATAAATACATAAGGCGGGGGTTTTAACCTCTCAAGCATTCAGATGAATTCATTCTCTATTTTTATTTTTTCAAGTGTGTAGTGCATGATTGGATTCATTTTTTTGAGAGACAAAAGTCATTCTAAATACATAATATTGATTTTGACATGTTTGAGTGTTCTCAAGTATAATTGTTTTTGCCTCAAGAATGAATTCTAACTTGAAGCCAAGATTCATAGCTTTACCTCCAAACCTGTCTTTTAGCTTTAGATATTTTATTCAACTCACTGTCATGTGGATATATTAACTTCATATTCAACCCATTTTTAACCAAAATCAATTCATTTAAAGCAATTCTCACCGCTATTGAACCAAACACACACATATACTTCTTGTTTCTCTATGATCATTGTAAAAAATGTTTGTTTTTACATTGGCCATTGAAATGCAAGACCTGACAAAGTATGCTCATTTACATAATAGGCCTATGTCCAACAGTTGGAAAGTAGTCGTTTGAAGCTGACTCAACTAGAGCAAGAGCTTCAGCGAGCCAGACAACAGGTTAGATTCTGTTGATTTTTGTATGACACGTTTCCTTCGGAGTTGTGTTATATTTTAATCCAGAATGTATTGTTTCTTCTTGTAGGGAGTCTTCATATCAAGCTCAGGTGAACAAACACATTCACTGAGTGGAAATGGTATGTAGTTTCTAATTTGTTACTTATTCTATAGTTTGTACGTAGAAATATGTATAACTAGTTTCTGTCATGTTGTAACAAGTTATATCATTAATTTTCTTTCAGCTACGTTTTATTATCCATAATAATCATTTAATTGTTTTACAGGGGCAATGCAATTTGATGCAGAATATGCAAGGTGGCTAGAAGAGCAAAATCGACAAATTAACGAGCTAAGAGCAGCTGTAAATTCTCATGCAAGTGATACCGAACTTCGCATGATTGTTGATGGTATATTGGCACATTATGACGAGATTTTTAGGCTAAAAGGTGTTGCAGCTAAGGCCGATGTTTTCCATTTGTTGTCCGGCATGTGGAAAACACCTGCTGAGAGGTGTTTTTTATGGCTTGGTGGTTTTCGCTCGTCTGAACTTCTCAAGGTGAGCTTGTGCTTACCCTTTTCTTTATCAACCGAGTTTTAATCTTTCGACATCTAGAGTCATTCTAGAGTTTATTTTCTCTACCTCGACTTAGTGCGACAAATTTGCTTACAGCTTCTGGTAAGTCAATTGGAACCTCTCACAGAGCAGCAGTTGATGGGTATTACCAACTTGCAACAATCCTCCCAACAAGCAGAAGACGCATTGTCTCAAGGCATGGAAGCATTACAACAGTCCCTCGCAGAGACATTGTCCACCGGCGCACCTTCCTCCTCTGGTTCCTCAGGGAATGTCGCAAATTACATGGGTCAAATGGCTATGGCCATGGGTAAACTCGGGACACTCGAGGGCTTCATTCGACAGGTAAATATTTCTTTCTCAAACTCGTGTTCAATTAATTTGGTACTTTGGCACAGCTTTTGGTGATTATAAAATATCTTACTATGGACTCCATTTGTGTGTTTATTATTACAAGGCTGACAATCTGCGCCAGCAGACACTACAACAAATGCACCGAATATTGACAACACGACAATCGGCTCGTGCACTCCTTGCCATACATGATTACTTTTCGCGGCTGCGCGCTCTCAGCTCCCTCTGGCTGGCGCGGCCAAGAGATTAATGAGTGAAGTTATTAATAGTTTGTCAAATCAACCACCATTGATATGCTTCGGTCATGATAAGTTTTGATTCTTAACAAGTGTCCATGGTGTTGTAGTGTTTGTAATACTGATACTAGTGTTTGCTTGAGTTTTACTAGGAATGGAAATGGAAACAGACAAGCATTTATGTTATATCTGTAACTAATAATAATATTGTCCATTGTAATTGTTGTGGAAGGGCTTTGTTTTTTCAGACAAAGGTAGTTTATGAGATATGCCATTTAACTGATTCAGTTGCCACCGTTTTTCTTACAAGCAAAAGAATATGTATGCAAAATTATAAAACGGTGGTTCATAAAACTTGTTCACTTTTTTGCTTTTTGCTTTACTCAAAATTTGACTAAAGGAGAAATACTTGGAAGTAGGAAAAGGACTGAATGAGAAAATAAGCATGCTTTTACAATAAACCAGAGCAAGTAATTACAGTAAACCAGAGTTATCTTTATTTGTCAAGAAATAGTTTGTGGATTTGTATAAGTAGTTCCAATCTCTTACTTTTTTATACCATTGAAAGTTCAATCCCTGCAATTAAAAAAAAAATAGTTATTTGAGTGAATGGCATAAGATGGAGTGTCATCTCATCCACTCAACCTCTCGGCCACGGTTAGTACAAAAGACTTTCGCCCACAATTAGTACATAAAGAAGAAAATCTCACTCCCCATTTGTTCCCGCAGAAATTTGTGAGGAAACACTAATGAACAACCAGATAAAAGTTATTTGTCAGAAAATGCCATGAATAATTTTTGCTTGATAGTTTTGGATGGATGTGATTTTAATTAAAATTGTGTCGTTCTGAATAAATGTAAAGTTGTATAAATAGAGGAGGGTAACGTGTTTCTCAAAAAATATCTTTTCTAATTTTTACTTAAAACAGAAGTGTACTTCAACGAAGTTTTACCTCTCGTAGAGTTCTGACTTTCGAATGACACGTCTCTCGCATCTTTGACGTCCAAATTAAATGAATTGTTGTCTGATACAGAAAACAAGAAGGTGAGAAAGATCGAGTTTTTTGAAGATTTGAATGATCCTGACGGAATGGTGTAATACAACCTTATTGATTTGAAGACCGATGAAGATGTGAAAGATATGTGGAGATCATATCGAGTTAGATGCTAAGATTTCAAGGTCCACCGACAAATATAATTAAGATGCTGAATTGTTCATAATCATCCGGTAGTGTTTAAACTTTCTTTTTTATTATTGTTTTTTTTAAGTTATAAAATTTATTGTCAAATGTTAGTTTATGGTGATGTTGCATCAATGGAAGATCAAAAAATATCATCTACCACCTTATCACTGGGCTGCTCAACTAATTTAGCGGTCGGCATCGAGTGCTACGAGGTGCTCTGCTCAACTAATTTAGCGGTCGGCATCGTGTGCTACGAGGTGCGCAAAACTAACTATGCTCAACCAACCGTTTCCAGTGTAAATCGATTAGAACCATTCGTTCCGCTCGTATTTGGGAAGACTTAGCTTCAGCCGCTATAACTTGATCTGCCGTTCTATTTGTCGTTCTGTCTACAATAGTGTCGTCTGTGACTCTATATCTCACTGCAAAAGAAAACAATAAAATAAAAATTAACTACCGAAAATTCTAAAATTTCCAATAAAAAACAAAGTTTTGATAACTATCAAAATTCTAAAATTTTCAATTAAAAAACAATTTTTTTATGACTACCGGAAGTTCTTAAATTTTCAATAAAAACAAAATTTTTATAACTATCAGAAATTCTGAAATTTCCAATAAAAAACAGTTTTTATAACTAAAAGAAATTTTGAAATTTTCGATAAAAAAATAGTTTTTATAACTGCCAAAAATTTAGATATTTTCTAGTAGTATCAAACAATTTTAAATTTTAAATTTTAGAGTTTCTTATTACAATGTTTTGATTAATATCAAAAATTTTGAAATTTCAATTACAAAATCTCAAACTTCAGACATTTGCGGTTAAAAAACTACTGATTTTGAAATTTTTGATATCACCTCAAAAAAAAGAAATTTGTAGGCGGCAAAAAATGAATAAAAATATTTTACAGGGACAGTATTGTCCATTCAAACATAGGAAGTGTAAATGCTCCAAAGTAAAGCATCACAAATAAACAGTTCACGGTGTTAAGTTAAATGTTCCAAAGTAAAACATCACAAACAAACAGCTCACGAGTATTTTCAAGTCATTCAATTTCCTTCAAAGTAAAGCACCAAAATTAAACAGCTCTCTAATGCTTGCGAGAGAAACAATATTAGCGTAACTCTGGTGATTTCGACAAGGTTCTAAACAGTGCCCTTCTGCAGGGCTTTGCAATTGTGGGAGGATGATCAGCGACCGGCGCTCAAGAAAAGTGAAGGTGATTTTGAAAACAGAGAGAATCTTACCTTGCTAAAAAACGAAGGTAACATTGATCATCTAACTGGAGTATGGCAAAACTACAGAGAAATGTAAATGACAGACGTACAAAAAAACAATTAATACCTGCATATTGGAAAGACCTCTAACATTATGCCATTACTCAAAATACATTGCTTTTTCAGCATGCACAACAATTAAGCAAAACATCACGTTCTCAAATTAAGCCATGAATAATAATGAAAGTAACAGTTTGATCTGAAACAAACAGTATTAACTTCATCTTGTATTGATCCACATAACATTTAGGACAATTCTTTATTTGAGGAAACAGAGAACACGTCTCATTATCAAACTTCAAGAGTAATTGCTGTTGTAGAAATTCTTCAGGAAATTAGAGATGCCCTGCTCTTTTGCGGCCAACTCCTGCTGCTCCAGTCCACGCCGGCCGACCACGTACTGACCAACTATATGGTGCCTTTGCTTGGAATGGTTTACAACATTCTTCAACTCTTCCAAACCCTTGAAAAGCAGCAAATCAATTACCTGAACACACAAATATTAGTGACAGTAATAAAACCATTCATATTAATGCAGATCAGTTTCAAAGCTTTTGAATTAATTACTAGCGTCAATGCATCAAATCCATGACACACTGAACTACATATTCGAATAAATACCATATATGCAAATAAAATGTATGGATTCTTTCTCATGGAGTTACTATCACGTCTGTAAGGAGTAAAGAAGAAATCAAACAAAGCCTCGGACAACACCAGACCGTAATTTACAGTTTCTTTTTTATAAGAAATAGGTTGACTTACAAAATAAAATAACTTAAAACGGCACAAGTAAAGCAAACATAGCATGAAAGAAAACATAAATGATGATTTTACAACACTAAAGCATTGCGATGCACAATGACAAGGGTTTTGCAAACAAATATCATGGTTGAAACAATTTATTCACAGGTTGTCAACACTCAAAATTTGGCACGACAATGCACAAAACATGGTCCCGTATTCAAACTACAGATTAACAAACATAGCTTCTCTTTCCCATATCTCTTCATCATGACATCACTAATATAAACCTATAATCTCCACAGTATGACAACAGGCATCACATTGAAATGTTGAAGGCCCTATCATACAATAGGGTATTTAATTTTAATCCCCTTGAAAATTATTCCACTAAATTCTCCAAAGACTGAGAAATTCAACAAACCAAATTGTGAATTTAATTAAGAAAATAGTCAACTTACTAGATCGTAAATTTCGATAAGCTTAGGTTAGGGCCTATTTAATGTGGAAAAACCATTTTGCTTTTCAGGATTTTTGTAGGAATTTGTTTCACTTTATAACATTTAATATATTTTTGTATTAACACTTGGAAATAGAAATGAAGTGAAAATAAAAGAATAAAATAAAAACTCTTCCTCAAATCAAATATAACCTTAACTACCCATTAGATAACTAAGCGCATTTAGGGTTTAATAAAAGATTATGCCAATTAGGAATAATCATTGCCAATAAACAAAAAACTAGAGGTTTGTAAATACTAGCTGACATGGTGTCTGAAAGAAGTATAGCACAGCTATAACTGACTGTCATAAAACAAACTTATCAAGTGAATATTAGTCTTTCTATTGGACTATGGAAGTTATTCTAGTCTCACTTGTATTAGATCTTTCACTTTAACTATACGGTCCACAGCTGTAGAAAGAGTTATGGCCCGCTGTCCTCATAGATCTATATATAGATTAATAAAGCTCTTGTAACAGCAACAAGTTCATTTTTTCAGATTATCATTAATATGAAATAGTTTTCTCTTAATTTGCTCTGATCCTATTATGGTATCAATGAGTCACTGTTACGATTTCTAGGGTACGATTCTTCACCTTCGGACCTTCCCTTCTCAATTGATTCACTGACTTACTTCTGCAACTCATGGAACCTCAATGGAAAGTTGTTGTTCCTCTTCCTCCTCCTTCCCTTGAGTTCTGCCACCGCAAAGCACCTTCTCCTCCAAGCATTGCCTTCTTGCACAAGATCTCGGAAAAATTAGATGCATAAAACTATCTTCTGTGGCGTCAACAAGTTGAACCTGTTATGAACAGCCAACCTCTTCATCACGCTTCCCTTTTAATCTGCAAATCCCAATTAAATTTCTCACGGTTGAAGACCTTGATGCGGCCGTGACTCCGAAACCTATCATGCTTGGGAACAAGATCAGCTACTACTTTTGTGGCTTCAGTTGACGATTTCAAGCTCTATGCTCAAACGTGTGATCGGATACACCAATTCATTGCCGGCCCTGTCTCCGAAAGCTACCATACTCGGGAGCAACAAGATCAGCTACTGCATTTGTGGCTTCAGTTGACAATTTCAAGCTCTATGCTCAAACATGTGATCTGAAGCACCAATTCATGGCAACAGTATGCAATTCCACAATTACTCCCATTCTCACACAAACGCAAAGGCACGGCAATTTTGTACTGAATTGCGTCACCCGACTTTTGAAAATCAGTCAATGTCTGAATTTCTTCTTCGTGTTCAGACCTTGATTGATGCGCTAACAGCCATCGGTGACTTCATCTCTATTAGGAACGCCTTAACGTCATCCTCAAATGCCTTCCGAAATAATGGTGTCTTTGTCTCACTAATAAGCAATAAGTTGGAGTTGCCGACCGCTCATGAGACTGAGACGCTACTTCTTGTGTATTTAGCAAAGAACCATGAGGCAGTCAATGTGCTCGTTAAGGCTGCGTCTACGTCAACCTCTGCACCTGCGCCTACTATGGCTCCTGTGAATCATAATCCTTAACATCTCATTCATCAGAACAATCCTGAGCCTCGTCAGTCACTTCTAATTAAAATCCTCACCATTCTACACCTTATAACCAATTCACTGATGGTAGAGACAAATTTTGCTGTGGAGGTTGCAATGGTGGCCAAGGTCATGTTGAAGAAGCACGGTATAGAGCATGATTTGCGTGAAATGTGGATATAATGTTTTTGTTTGTTATCATAGATTCCAACAGCATCATCCTACTCATATTCCTCACATGTATTCTTCCTCTCCCTACTTTCCATCTACACATCCATCCATGGCACCTACTCTTGGTTTTGATGTCAATACATTTCATGTGGTCCCTCCACTTAATGTGTCGTATCCACCATATTGGGTCCAAGGGAAATATTCTAATAACTCTAATTCCTTGCCTCCAAACCTATTTGACTATAAATGATAAATAAAAGTAGCTTTTTCAATTTGCATCACGTTGAAAAACAGAAAGTTTTACATCAAATGTTGTTTTAGAATTAAACACATACCACTTCACTCAAATTCAGTTTCAACCAAATAAAATTTACAAAATCAAGTTTATTTGAAATCGCATTTGACAAATTCTTATCCAAACATACACTAAATAACCTACACAAAAATTCTCAATCAACTCAGCTCGCTCTAAACACAAGAAGCAAATAGGGGTGCAGAAAAGAACCTGTCATATGATTAAACCTGCAACCATATCCAAAACCAGATTATTCTATTAATGGCTTGGATTCTGTTGCCGTAAGACCAGTTACAAATCCAAATACTCAGATCAGTTGGATTAACTTCTGGCCCATCCTATTTCACTTTTTGTTCCAAAAAAAGTGATGCAAGTGTTCCCTCTTAACAATATTTTTGGATCTAGCTTTCTGTTCCAAAAAAAAAGATCTAGCTCTTTGTTTTCCATATTATTTTCTTCTGAATAGAAAAAGTGAAAGATTAAATAGATTGAAAAAAGTGCAACCACCTCATCTCTGGTTGATCACTGTCGTCGAGCTCGCAGCATCATTGATTGCACACGTGTGGATCCTTGCCGAGGTCATCAAGCTTGTGAGCTGTTCTAAGCTTACTCACTTGATGCAGCTACTCCATCCTCAGACTTCATTCATGACCAGATCTATGGACACATGGTGGTTTGCTGGATAGAGACAAAAACAGGTGAAGGTAGCACAGATGCAGATCCAAACTAACCAGTACAGATTATGTTCTGGTTCCCACAGCAGCAATGATGGATACGCCGTGCATGACGTCAGGGAGGAAAATGGCGCATAATACGAGTGACAAACACATGAAAGAGGCGATGACAAAGATGCCGATGTGGCAGTAGCTAGTAGCTGTGACAACTCCTTTGTTCCTCTCGTGGATTAATTTTTCTATTCTCTTCTTGTGGTTTATTTTTTGGCTATTTGCATAACCAGTTTTTGGAATCTTAACCAGTTTTCAAACTGGTTTAACTTTTGAGTAATTGATTTCGATAAATTTGATTTAAATTCAATTTCCTATTTTGGTTTTTAGTGGGTACAGATCGGATATCAATAAAACAAAACAATGAACACCCAGAAGCAAAGACATAGATTCAAGGTACTACAATTAACAATATGTAACTAAAACCTACCTAGAATATCCATTCTATAATCTCAACAAACCAACTTCATTAAAATCCCTCTTGATTTATACCAAGCAAGCTAGTTTCTAACTTCCATATCCAATTCAAAAGTATCAAACAGATATCCAATTTAATTAGCACCACAATCCACAAGTTGAATCGCAAGCCTAATTCACAATAACCTTTACACACTCAATCAACTTAAATCACAAATCCGACCAACCGTAATGTAGGTGAAAAAGAAACATGTTTTCGCTTGTTTAAGCCTAAGAGAATCTAAATCTTCATCTAAACCTAAATATAAAAGAAATCTCAAATATTCAAAGCAACATCCAAAAGCAACTAAACTAAACAACAGTAAAACAGAATATGGTAAAATAATATCCATTTAAGGGCAATAAAAAAGAGAACACTTCATAGAGCCAACAGTTATACTCCCTAGGGTTTCATTTAATCCAATTCAAATCAAAAGATGTGAATTTATTCATATACTCATTCTCTGAATCACACTAACGGTTCCAGCTTCAAATAATAATATAAATTTCCCAAACAAATTAGAAAATCAAAAATCGAAATTCGGATATTATATTGCAAACGATGAATAATAAAATTGAAAACAATGAACCTTGGGATTTGTGATGTGGTCGTTTTTGCGGATCTCAGCGGCGATGGTGGACCGGAGCTGGGAAATTGTAGCGACGTCGTACAGGTTGTAAACTTCCATGACGGTAGGTAACGATCTACAAGCGCTTCTGAAGAATTCGAAGACTCGTTGACGCGCTTCTTCCAGATTCACTGAGTTTGGAGGCACTTTCGCGTTTCGAATTGCTTGCGCCATTTCCGATTCGACTCAACTCAACTCAACTCGGGTTTTTCTTTTTTCTGTTTTTGTTTATGAAGATAGTTCTTTTGTTCTTCAGGGTGAGAAAAAGAAAACTAGAGCGTGTGATTGTGGAGGACACGGGCCATACGGCGTCGTTTTAAATGTGAGTTTCACCTTGTTGCACGTGGACACCCTAGGTATAATGTAAAAAATATATATATCTGTAGTGTAATAATTTTAATTTTGACTAATATTTAACTTTATTATTTGGGAAGTGTATATCAATTCCAATGTTTTCATTGAATTAAATAATAATTAAATTCGATTGGTTTTATTTTGATCTAATTTACAATTTAAGAGAATTATATTATATATATATATATATATATATATATATATATATATATATATATATATATATATATATATATATATATATATATATATAACACCATAAAATTCCAAAGAAGTGATATAATTATTTAATATAAAATATAACAAGTAATATCTTAAAAATTAATACTTTATCTAAATAACCTATTTTTTAAAGTTTATTTTCAAAATAATTTATGTTTCAAAACAATTTTCAATTTACCCCACTTTTAAATTTAAAAAAATTGGAACGAAGTGGTGGTGCCAAGCAACTTGGCGACCACACTTACTTTTCAAATGGCAACATATACCATATAAGCTTATTATTTATCACTCGTATCCATTTATGTTCTAATGCACGAGCTGTTGGGACAACCTTTTTTTTTCCTTCACATATTTTCGTTGTGTTAAATTATGTCCCCTTGATATGTAGGTTAATAATCTTTCATTGCTACCACCGAGAAGTTGTGTTGTACACATTGAAGACATTTATGACTTTGTAAACATCAGATAGATGCTTGGAAGCGTATGAAAGACATACGAAAGGCTTTAAACTTGTTACAGTCGCACTAACCTCTATTTAGTTGGACCTGATAGTCTCCATTTAGCCTCCCCTCATTATGGTCTATTATTTTCTTTACACTAAAAGTGTGTCTATGACAGTCAAAGATTGTAACGACATGTGTGCTAACTTTGAGAGTTTCCTCCTTCATCACTTTCATGCAACTTTCATTGAGTAGTTGCCCTGACTGTAACACCGAACTTCATTTTTCGCCTCTGGTTGCAAAAAGTGATCCCAACATAAAATATGTTACTCTCACTAATGTCATTATTGGTAGGTTTCCAATGCCTTTGAAGATGTCGTTCATGGATTCAACAAGGTTTGTTGTCAAGTGGCCCCATCAAAGACCTTTGTCAAATGCCCTTGTCCATTTCTCCAATGGAATGTTATCTACCCACCTTAATGTATCTGCATTTAATAATCTAATTTCCCCGCGGTAGTGTTAGAACGATGGTTGAGTTAAAGCATACATTGCATCACAACTTTTTTTCGAAGGTTCTTGTCTTTGATCAGTCGCATTAAATTTTGTGCAATATGTCTAATGTATTAGACATGGCTACAAAAAGGATTTTTCCATCCATTCTCAGGATTATTATATGTGCTCTCAATAGATGCATGTCTGTCAGAAATCAAATAAAGGTTGGCCTGTGGAGTAACGTGTGCTCTGAGATTCTTGAGAAAGAAACTCCAACCATCAAGAGTCTCACCTTCAACTAGAGCGAAGGTGTTTACCGTGAAAATTGATAAACAACCGTTGGTCTCCAAATATTGGTTAACTTACATGATCAACTAGTGAATCCTATGACATGTGCTAATGCTTTTTAAATTAAAGTTTAAGAGATAAAGAACACTTCGACAATATTCATGATTTAAAAGTAGTTTACGTTGGAAATTTAAAATAAATTATGTTGCAGGAAAGTAATCGAAAGTGCAGTAAAATGCGTCAAAAGTAATTTGTGTGAATAAAGAAGATAAACTTCTAAGCAAAAGCATAAACTGAATTTGATTAAAATGTAAGAAAATGGTGTTTCACCAAAGGTACATTTCTCAATAACTCTTTTCTCTACACACTGGGTACTTTGAGTAACTTAAGTGGCTTGTACAAACTTGATCACACACGAAATCCTAATACTAAGACCTCTTATTTATACTAAATTGAAATAAATGCCTTTAACGACCTTTCTCCTAAATCAAGACAAGTGGCGCTCGACATGTCTTCATTTCCTTAACGTGTTCCACGTGTCTTCTCTTGAAACTGGATAAGAACAAAGTTTCCTCCTTTATTTAAATTCAAACTTCAAATCGAATACACCATCAGTAGCGTCTTTGTCGAACTACATCTTCAAACTCAGAAAAATTCCTTAAGTCCAACTAACCTTTTCTTCTTGCACAAGGGTAACTTCGACTAGACTTCCATAATTACATTGTCTTGTTGAAGTCCATCATAACTTCACAAAAATTCTTTTTTCCTTTTTAGTCCACTAATTTAACCTAAGCGTCAAAATTACGAGCTAACAAATTTCCCTCTAAAAATGTCATTTTCGACACCAAATGAAGAAAAAGGCATTTTTGGATATGTTACCCCTAACGTGTTGCTTGAACCTCATATGGAGCTCGCCGATTTTGGATATGTTAGAAAAATCATGTCTTACCTGGTTGATGTTAATTTTATACTAGCTTTACAAGAAAGATGGCAACCCGGTACACGCACTTTCTTTTTTCCAACTGGTGAATGTACATTAACGTTAGAGGACATGTACAATGGAACTTTGAATTAATGAGAAATGTAACTTTGACAATTGGAAGGACTTCACTAAACTTAAGTGTCGTAAATTGAGGTACTGTCATAACCATGTCTTACGTGACACTATAATGCTAACCTAATATATGTTAGAAGAATATATGTTCTTCACATAGTCTCTTTTGGTTTTGATGATAACAAAGTATTGAAAGAACAATGGTTTATTTGATGTGTGTTTTATTTATGCAGGTTTTACATCATCGTATATAAATAATCAGAATCTGTGTTACATGAACACACTTGGGAGTTGCTTCATTGCTAGCTTCTGGCAGCAGACTCTGAAGAACAATTGCTAGTGTGGCTTGGCACAGACTCTGAGCTGAAGACCTCAATATTCAAATGAGTTACTACAGTAGCATCTGGTATCGTTCAGAGTTGGTGATAAAGTTGTGGTTGTCCGGACTGCAGAAAGCAAGTTGTATTGTCTTATCAGCTTGTCAGCTATAGTCTACAAGATTGCAAGGCTCAAGAAAGGTTGGCATGCTTTACGGATATCTGTTCTCAATGGCTCTATCAGTACAAAACCTCTTGAAGACTCAAAGGTTAAACGTGTTACATGTTGGATTCAGAATCTGTTATGCATCCATCTTTAACGTCTCTTGTATTATGGGGCGAAGACAAAGACACTTGACCAAGTTACCTATTCAACGACTAGTTTCTGTAAAGGTTATAAATATGAATGAAGATTCAAGTTTGTATTTTAACAAGGATTCATCAGATGAAGGAGTAGCAAGATCAAGAAATTATCAACTATACAGATTTTTTGTTATAGGCTGCAATTGTAAAAGCCTTAAGATTTCTTACCATTTAATATCTTAGAAATCTTAAGAGCTTTAGGTCTTTGTTATGGTGATTTCCCGTGCCTCTGATGTTTGTATCATGTACACCTTGTTCTCTATTATACTGAGCCTTTAGTAGTTTAGATCAAGTCTCTTGCTATGTACTTTAGAATAAGTCTTGTCTCATTGGGATTCAAGCAACAAGTCTCGAGCCAAGATGCTGGAGCTACGTAACTCTCTTGATATGTGTTTGAGTTGTAAGAGTCTTAATCAGCAAGGCTAATTGAGCAGAAGTCTTAAGCCCAGATGCTTAAGCCATATAAGTCTCATTGCTTAAGTGTTTGAGTTGTGAAATTCTTATTCAGCTAGGCTGATTTAGCAAAGGGAAAGTCTTCGTCTGAGGGCGTGAGCAGGAAGTATTAAGTGCTGCTTGAGCAAGGAAGTCTCTGTCTGGATGGCCAAAAGTGTAGGTGACTCAGTCAGAGGATGTGGGAAAGGAAGTGTCAGTCTGGATGGCCAGAAGAGCAGGTGGCTCGGTTAGAGGATGTGAGCAGAAGTCTTAGACATGTGCTCTAAGCAAGAAAGTTTCAGACAGTTGGTCTGAGCAAGTGTAAAAGACTTATACAGAAGCATAAGCGATTGTAATCATGAAGTGGTTATAATGAAAATCTTTTGTGATGCAAGGGGACTGGAGTACTCTATGTTAGGGGAGGAACCAGAATAAATATTTTGTGTCTTTTGTTGTTACTTGTTTACTTCTGTTATATCCACTCCCAATGAATTAAAATAGAATCTGAACACCAGTTCTAATTCTAAACTCTGGTCAGAAGTTAAATTAAAGAAAACGCGAAACACAATTTAACCCCCATTCTTGTGTACTTTTCACACCTTTAGTCTAAACCAACTAATAATCGTATGGGTTGGTACAAATTAATTGCAATTAGGTTTGTCTCCGAAGATAGGTATCTATACGACCTACACTAAACCACGTACACGCAAGAAGCTTCAATGTCTAACCCCTACAAAATTACCAGGTGTGTTACTCACAACCCTCTACCCTAACAAAATTACCGACCCACAAACATACAAATCCATAACAAAAACATGTCAGACATTCAACCACAATACCAAGAGTGTCCCCCACACCATTACCAGCAAGATGACTATTATCAAGATACCTAAAATACATATGTCTCCAACACATCAGCCTACCATAGCTCAAACATCCAAGGAACATATAACATCAACCTTTCCTCCTAACATAGCCAAAACTCCTAAACATCATAACAACCATATGGCTATCAAACACCATAACAACCATTTTAACCTTTCTCCAACAAATTGTTCACATCAATAACCCCATTAACACATCCCTGTTAGACAATGGCGCAGATCTAGAAGGGGGGTTGAATAAATCACTTGTTAAAAACAGAGTCGGACTACTAATATTTGGTTTTAAAATTTTTTTATGCAAAAGCGCCCGAGGAACTATATTCGTCTA